GATACAGCACGCGATTGATACCGGGGATCACGCCCCGATACATTGCCGACCGTACCGATATTCCCTTAAAGAAAGACAGTTGGCGTTGGAAAGGGTACGGGAATTTGAGCAGTTGGGGTGGGTCGAACCATCGCTGGGACCGTGGTCTTTTCCCGTAGCTCTCGTGCCAAAACGAAATGGTTCGGTCCGGGTATGCATCGATTACCGGAAATTGAACGCTATCACTACCAAAGATGTGTATCCCTTGCCGCGAATCGACGATTTGTTGGATGCTATCGGGGTCGCACGAGTCTTTTCCAAGTTCGATATCCGACACGGTTTTCACCATGTCGCAGTCCGACCGGAGGACCGACCCAAAACCGCTTTCGTCCTATTTGAGGGCACGTGGCAATGGGTCCGGTGTCCCATGAGAATTTGTAACGCCCCCGCAACATTTCAGCGGGCCATGAATATGGCCTTCGCTGAGTTCGTTAACAAAACCCGACTAACCCAGCCCCTGATCAATTTCTGCGTGATTGTGTACATGGATGATATTTTGGTCTTTTCAAAAACACACGAGTACCACGTGGAACACATTAAGTGGGTTTTGCATGCACTAAAGGAAGCGGGGTTCAAAGTGGCCTTGGAGAAAAGCGAGTTCTTCTTGTCGGAGATCTCATTCTTGGGGTATATCGTCACGGTCGATGGACTAAAACCAGATCCGAGGAAGGTGGCAGCAGTTCAAGACGCCCTGGCACCGGTCACACTCACCCACGTTCGGGCTTTTCTAGGGCTGGCATCCTMTTACCGACGCTTCATCAAGGGGTTCGCCGGTATAGTGAAGCCCCTCACGAACCTGCTGAAGAAAGAGGAACAACTGATCTGGACGCCGGAATGCGAAGCGGCGTTTCAGGCGTTGAAGGAGGCTCTGACATCTGCTCCTGTGTTGGCACGCCCCGACCCGACAAGACCGTTCGCACTGTACACCGACTGGCAGCCTCAGGCGATATCGGCGGTGCTGACTCAGCACGGGGCGGACGGAAGGGAACACGTCATTGAGTATGCGTCCAAGACGCTGAGCCAGGTGCAGGCTAATTACGAAGCGTGCAAAGGCGAATGCCTGGCGGTGGTGTGGGGGATCCAGCATTTCCGACCGTATCTTTACGGCCAGAAATTCGTGCTGGTGACAGATCATCAGCCGCTGCTGTCCCTACGCAACAACACGGACTACACGGGGACGCTGGGCCGGTGGGCGGTGCGTCTGCAAGATTATGACTTCGACATCCGCCCCTGTGCCACGCGGCAGCATGGTAACGCCGATGGATTGACAGGCCTTCTGCCGCCCAACAAGTGTCCAGCCAACGAGCGACTCATTCCGTGGAGGCCAGAAGTCGCGGCGACGAAACCGCACTACGGGGAGCTACACGTGCTGCGCAAGAACGACGCCTGAGTCCGGAATGGAGGTTTCACCGGAGATGGCAGACGTTATCTCTTTGCCCTCATCCAACTCCCTCGCTCTCTCGTCTAGTCCCTACTCGTCCCCTGAAACACAGCTAAGTCCCTGTTTTTTTTGTACCTTGCCTATGGTCCCGGACCAAGAGGGGTCACATCCGGGAGGGCCCAGTTTTTTTCTGTGGGTGCAGTGTAGTCGGTGTCAAGCGGTCAAGTCCCACGGACAATGCGTTAGGTACCGAAGCGAAAAGACGTGGGTCTGTCCCAACTGTAGAGCGGACCAAGTCCCTACCGAGAAACGGTATCTGGATGCACGAACAGCCGACGAATTTGCACCGAGTGTCCGCCGGGCGGAAGTCTGAACGGACCTTCTGTTGCTACGGAGGCTGTCAGGCGACTCGCTGTCAGAACTTACCAAAGCCGAGCGGCGGAAAGTCACGGAGCCGGCGCAGGACTATCGCTGGTAGGGACCGATGTTACAAAAACGAAAAGTCGATGATGACGGAGGGTCTAGCTGGTTGACGGTTCCGCACCCTTTCGCTAGGTTCGATTGGACACGAGCCGCTCATGAAGAGAATGTGGTCCATTTCGCGGTCAAGTACACAAAAAAAGCCATCGAAAAGAACGGATGGTACTGATCGGGAATTCGGGAAGATGTGAAATACACCGTCCAAAATTGCCCGGCCTGCGCGGCGGACAAGGCACCGGTACAGATGCCTCGGACGATGGTGCCCACTCGTGTAGAGCGCCCCTTTCAGAGGGTTAGCATCGACACGACGGATATTGACGTTCCGAGAGGTCCCGTCGATCAGGGAGAGCTCAATGTTCTTTTAGTGGTCGTCGATCATTTTTCGAAATGGATAGTGGCGTACCCTATGACCAGCCGGAACTCGCAGGAAGTAGCCTGGTACGTAAATCGATTTTTGTGCATGCATCTAGACGTAGAAGAGGTACACATGGACAATGGGTCGGAATTTCAAGGCGAAGTAGAACGTCACCTAGT